CACATGGTGGAAAGAAGAGAACCAACACACTCCTAAAAGTTGCCACCAATCTCACATGTGTGATGTGGCACACACAGGCCCTGACACATACACATATTACTGATATACACACATGCATATGAATGTAAATGAAAAGAAAACCTCTAAATCACTTCACTGGGTATGGTAGCATACCTATAATCAAACACACAGAAAGCTGAAGCAGGAAGATCCAAAATCCCAGGTCAACCTGGGCTACACGGTGAAAGGCTTTACAGATAAACAAGCAAAAGAAAAACTTGGGAACTAGTTATTTCCAAAACATATCAGGGCACAAACTGTGGATGAGGCAAGGTCCCAAGGAAGCAAATGATAATTCCAAGTCTTCCAGAGCTTCAAGTCTGAAGGTAATGTATCAAGTCCTACAGGGCAATGCTCCTTTCTTTACTCACCCTCCCAGGCACCTTTCTTTTCCCACTCCCACCCTCCAAGGAGTTCAAAGCCCCTCACTATTTCTGAGCGGTGGCTGCCCCGTTCTTGGGGTCCCACTATACTCTTACCACGGTTACTTTTTTAAGCTCCAGCATAGCATTTAGAGTGGCTCAAATCCACTGACTACTCCAACAGCCCTCTTGGAAAGGCATTTCAATGATTCCCTTGAACTTCCTTTCACTGGATGGTGTTTGAGAAGAACGCGGTCATCAGGGCAGACGCCTGGGCGGTGGTCAGATGTAATGTCAGCCCCTGCGGGGAGGCTAACTGTGAGCCTGAGGCCAGGGGAGTTAAAACAAGAAAGATTCTGTCTCAAAACAATTAAAAGGACAGATTATAATAACTAAAAACTGTAGCAGAGGGGCCACTGCCTGCGGTGGAGGCTCAGTCACTAACTTTGAATGCCACACAGTTCCAGGCTGTCCAGCTTCTAAGGTTAAGCCACTCAGTGCTATAACATCTTAGATCTCAATATCTTCCTTGTTTTCTAACGCTCTGGAAAAAAAAATCAATATTTATGAGCAAGAGTATTCCCAGGAGTGAGTATATTATAACTCATTAGTGAAGCGTGTTCTCAGAGACTCTACCATTAGTCTTCCTTTTGCAGCCACCCCTCTGCTGTGAGGCACACCCTTCTTCCTTGCCGGGAAAAGGAATGGCCAGAGAGAAGCCTCCTTTGCCTCAACTCAATCATCACAATGTGGAGAGAAACCCCTCCTACAGGCACGATTCAGCTGATCAGGAAAAGAGCTCATCCAAGGTAATTTGCTACAAAAACAAGGCTTTTGGCATCTAACCCTCCAGTGCATCACAAACTTCCTGCTATTATCTAATAACCCCCCAGCCATCACCGTTTCCACGGTAACCGACAGAGAAATAGCAGCCTGCCAAGCGCCTTTTGTAGCTCCTTTTCTAGTTTGCTCTTCTGTATAGAATTAGTTAGATGGGGAAAGAACCAGGCTAATCTTTGCAAACAGGAACATGATGTAGTCTGGAAAGTACAACTGGGCTCTGGATAAGTAGTGCAGAAAAGCTTTCAGAAACCCACTCTGATAGGGTACAAAAGGTCTTTTGACGTGGATTTGCTAAGTTTTCCCTCATCTTTGGACAGGGAGGCTGGTACTGGCCAGTTTCGGATTTAACCCACACCAAAGGAAGGGACAGGATGCAGAACAAGACCAGCAAAGACTACTGTGCCCTTTGTACCTTACTGCCACTAGAGGAAAAATGAGAGTCAGACTCCACAGGCTGGGAGCAGAGGACAGTGAAGGAAGGATAGGCACCCTGTTCTTCCATGTTTAATCCTGAAGACATGGGCTCCACAAATCAGAGGGTGTGTAGGGATCAGAGATCTCCTTCCATGTCAGCCAGGAAGAAACTGTTTGAAATAGTGTGTAGAACATGGGGCAGCTTTCAGAAGATCAGTAGCCAGGCTGATCTAGGTACCAGACTGCAAAGCAAGCAGCTGTTACAGGGGTGGAAGAGTCTGAATTTGTTATGAAAAAACAATTCTCTTTCTGGGCACGGTGGCAAATGCAATTACAGCACTGGGAAGATAGAGGTAGGAGGATCAAAAGTTCAAGGCTATCTTTGTTACACGAGATCCTGTCTCAAACAAACAAACAAACAAACACACAAGAAGTCTTCGAAAGTAGCCCCCAAAGGCCTCTGTCTCAAAATTCCACAGATAGGTGAAACACATAAAATCTCTTGGCTTTTATTTGCTTCAGATGAGAAAGCAAATCAATGACAGCTCTCATCCGATAGGTCAAAGCTAAGAGGAGCGTAGAAAACTCCCTCCTACAACCATCTTGTTGGCAGACAGGAAAATTACAACAGTAGTGACATTCAGAGACAGGTCCTAAGAGTACTGCAAGTCAGACTCCACGTGCCACACAGAAGAGTGACTTATCCTGTTTAACTTTGGGTCGTGAGTCATGAGTCTTATTCTCTGAGCCACCACCTGAATTTAGACAGAAAAGTAGACAAAGATTTGAATAGCTGACTCCCTTGAATCCTTCAGGAAAAGGCCTATTTGTAATAAGATGTATGCCCTGAAAAATATTTCCATGGCTGTCAACTCAAAGTAAGGCTTCTGCATTTGGTTACTTTTATGGGCTCCAAAGTTTTGTAATCTGTTAATGAAGTCTGAGTGAGTCCTCCAAAGTTTAAACATGTGCTGTGTTTACTCAAGTGGAACTTCTAGGCTGTAATCACCAATGTGTGATTATAATCTCGAACACACTAACACTCAGCTTCTCCATCTTAAACAAAAGTCAAAATTGAGAGTATGTACAAGAATTATGCCAAATTCAATCCCAGTTGAAATCAGGCCAGAAGTCAAAACTTACTAGAGCCAGTAACCTGGGGTACTGACTGTTTATGTTTCTTCCCAAACTCATTTCTGCAGCCAACTTTATTTCAAGACCTCAGATAAATTTTCTCACTTATGAGATGTATTATGTTCCATTAACTCAGCTGGCACAGCTGGAGTCCAGGGACACCGAGGGGACTTGATCTCTTCCATCACTCCAAGACCTATGCTTTCCCCAGGTTCCTGAGAACAGACTTCAGGAAGCCTAAGGAGGCAGCCTCAGTGTGGGCAGTCTCTCTTAAACAGAGATTTGTTGCACACGGCCACACCCAAAAACAACGCTGTATGTGTTTGTTGTATTTGCCGACCAACCTACAACGTAACAAATTACTACCAAGACGGAATTCTAGGCCACCATGTGCTGGGCTTTTGCTTGGTTTGTTTGTGGTGCTGATAGAACCGGGGCCTTGCTCATGTGCTCTGAGCTACAGCCCTAGGCCCCGAGACAGGTCTTCCTATGAGAGAATGAGGAGCCCTGTGCTGGGAGGGCGACAGTCAGGGTGTTTCTGGGCACCCAGGCACTGTTAATGTTTAGCAGTTGGGAGCCACATGTACACTGAAACTAACTACCCAGAAAGCATACTTTGGGGATTCTTAAGTTCCCACCTATACATAGGCCCCTAATTTTTTTCATAAGGGGGTGGTGCTGAATGTATGTGGGCAAACGAACAGTCACTGAAACACTTGGCAACAAAGCAAGTAACTGTGAAGAACCAAACAGAGAGTGACACCAAAGCTTCCAGTACGAGAGCGAGGGGAGCTGCATCTCCCCTACAGCTACACCTGCAGCCCAGGACCCACCGGGAAAAGGGATGGGGCCCACCGTCTGCTTGAGAAGAGGGTCTGAAATGCCATCAGGCACATAGTGCTCCCCCGCTATCTCTAATATCAGAGTCTTACACAGGCAAGAAGAACTTTTCATATGTGCCCCTGGGATCCAAGCGCGGGCCCGTGTATAGAAGTGTAATCATGTGTAAAAGACACCAACAAAGGCCAGATATTTGGTGCTCAACTCACACTCCCTAGTCCCCAAGAAGGCTGCTCCCTAGTTGTCGAGAAGACTGCTGGAGAATATGGTCATGGTTCTTACCCTGGTGACTGAGAATGCTCTACCAACAACAAACAAAGTTTAGGTGGGAACCAAACTGAAGCAAAATTGATCAATGGAACTGATACCAACAATTGGAGTTTGATGTTATACGTGCCAAGTAACTCAGTATGCTATAAAACAGCACGCCTGGAAACCCAATGGCACTGCAGCCTGAATGGCCTGTTAACCGCATTCTTACAGAAGTATCTAATGCAGAGGAGACAGGAGCTCTGAGCAAGTCAGGAGGACTGAATTAGGTCATAATCAAAACACAGCCTGCTGGCCTTCCACACTGATGGGGCCTGATTTAATGATGCGAGCTGAATAGCCGGAACTCTGGAATCAAAATGACTTAGTGAGATTCCTCTCTGGGAGTTTCTTCTAGTTTTCTTTCTTTGTTCTAAGGTTCCTTTTTGATTCAAAACATTAGGGCAGGACTTGAGGATCAGTAGTTCTGAATCTTTCTAATGTCATGTAATCTACATGAGAACTAGGGTGAAAACTGAAATTAAAGTTAGTTTAGTCACTACTTTCCAGCCTCAACTTAGGCACACTACTGCCTGAGAATCTGGGTTGAGCTTCCTCTCGCTCAAGAAGTCACAGGCTCACACACCCTTTCAGAAGAAGACTAGAAGACAAAGAGGATTTGCATGATGCTCCCTCCCAGAACAGAGGTATGCCACACAGTCAATTCAGGGCCTCTTTCTGGAGTTTCTGGAGTCTCCCCAACTCCGAGTCACCCTTCTGTGACTCTTCACACACAGCGTGAGTAACAGGTGCAATCCCTCAGATGCTTTGCATAGGACTGGGACTGTCCCTCCTTTCCAGCAGTGGCACTGGGCCCACAGGACCTGGTGAAGGGGACAATTCCTGCTGGATAAACAAATGCACGAGTGGGTACTTTGGAAGCCACACATTCGGAGGAGGCAATCAAATGAAAATGTTTCACCAATGTTACGTACTCCTACTCCTAATCCCAGAAAGGGCGGTTTTTAGGAGGTCTGGGTTCTTCACCGATTAGGAGGTAAGGGAGGAAAACATGTGTTTAAGGCAGAGAATACTTACAGGTGGGGGTTTCTTCCTCATCTCAAAAGTCCGAGTGGCACCAAAACTAAGTGACGCAATGACCGGGCAGCTCCCCAGCGAGGGTTCGTCATCACTGTGCCAGTCCACACTGTCCTTCTCGTCCCGGTAAAGATTGCACAGCAAGGAGTTGAAGGTGTGGCCAGTGTTCTCCTCAATGCGGCTCTTCAGAGTGCACAGCACAGGATGCCACTGGCAGCAAGCCGAAGCAAGTGCAGGGACAGGCACACAAGGCACAGTAGGCAGGCATGAGAGAACAGAAAAAAAAGGCAAAATGAGCCAAGCTCTGAGCAGGGCAATGTAATAAACAGAAGGCAGAAGAGTAGAGTAGTCTCCTCCCTCCGTCTCTATGCTGAAGCAAGTAAACCTCCTCCACTGGAGTAGGAAAGCACTAAATCTGAAGGCTGGAGCCTGTCCACCCTCTCGTCTCTCTCGCATCCTCACAAAGTGGCCAACGCCAACATGCTCAGGGTGGCTCTGGAAAGGCAGTGCTGTGCTAAGTGGAGCAGTGAAGTGACAGCCAGTGAGTCCACACACTCAGGCTCAGGTGAAGAACAGGAGCGCTCTCAACTGGGTGCCTTCCATCCATCCTATTCCTATTTTATCTCAACAATAGATTTGCTTTCTTGAAAAATAATTACTATTAGAGTAGCTAGCTTCCTAAAAAACAGAACCCAAATCTTTGGCATGGTGGTGTGTGCCAGTAATCTTAGCATTCGGGAGGCTGAGGCAAGCTTGAGGCCATCCTGGTCTAGGCTATACCAACAATCATAAGTGGTCCTTTTCTTTTCTCTAGAATGGGACTCAGAGCACACTCTTAGAACTGTAAAGTTACAGACTTAACCATACTGTGATGTAGTTTGCAGTGTGGCCACGTACACAGGAAGTTACTGTGACATCAGTCACAGGCTGTGTGCACTGGTTCCACGAGAGCTCTGTGTCTTACTAAATCTCAAGAGCCCAGCACACACTTTAGGACAATGGCTTTCAACCTTTACACTAACAAAATGATTGATGTCCTCACTTTACTGTTGTTGATGGAGCCAGGAGCTCACTATGTAGCTCTGGTTGGCCTGGAACTTGCTATGTAGATAAGGCTGATCTTGAACTCACAGAGATCTGCCTGCCTCTTCCTCCCAAGTGCCGAGATTAAAGGTGTGCACCACCACACCCAGTCTGAGCCTTCATTCTTTTAGGTTATAGTTATTGATATTTACTATATTAAAATTAAAGCTGAACTGAGAGTGGTGGTACATGCTATAAAGCCGGGGAGGCTGAGGCAGGAGGATAGAGTTCAAAACTAGCCTGGGCCATACAGCAAGACCCTGTGTCCAGATAAATAAATATACCATTGGCAATTCATTCAAAATGCAACAGCAAATCTGTATAACTGCGTATGAAAAATGTAATTTCAATATAAAACTGTGGTGAGAGCGGCTCTGCTTTGCACACAGTCTACACGGGAGGCAGCGGCTCCCCTGCTTCTGCACTTACTCTGCTAACATCAGCGCACAGCCCTGTCAGAGAGCAGCTCGCTTTGTGACTGCATCCAAAGCTCAGCAGTGGCGGATCCCTTGAGGTAGCCCCACACGGGATCTGACGCTATTTCAAACTTTTCTTGTTTTTCCAGTGGTTTACATCAAAATCTGAAGGGATCTTTACCCTTGCATGGTTTTTGTCACCTGGGAAACAGCAGTCACTGAGTCACACAGACCTGCTAAACCTTCGCGCATGTCACCACCCAGTCATGACACTGTAAATACTGTCACTGACTTCACCAAACAAGTCTAGGTCATGGAAAAAGCCAGGTTCACAGCGATGGACGCTTAGTTTCCCCAGAGTCTGGTTTCCGCTTAGAAATTCAACTTTTATCATTGACAACAAACCCTGGCCACTGTTTTCACTAAAGTGAAACTAATTTCATTTACTGGTGAGGAAATATCAGTCAGATTCTCAGATCTGACAAAGAGGTCTGTTGGCCACCTGTTTTATATAAAAGCCGTCTATGGGGAGAACAGCTTACAACTCAATCACACTCAGTTTCTAGGAGATATGCCTTATGTATTCTTTCAGTTTTATCAAATGAACTACTAAGATGTACTTGAAATTAGTTTGTTTTTTTTTTTTTCCGTCTATCTGTCTGTTTTTTTAAGACAGGGTCTCTCTACATAGCCCTGGCTATCTTGAAACTCTCTCTTTGTAGAACAGGCAGGCAGATCTCGAAGTAAAAGCACTCACCACTCAGGCCTGCAATAGTATTTTTATTTTTAATTGGAAAAAAAATTTAGATTTATTTTCACCTTGTGTGTATGTGTTTTTATTTTATGAATGTGTTTTTGCTGGCATGAATGTATTTGTACTATCTGTGTGCCTGGTGCTCAGAGGTCAGAAGAGGGCATCAGATCTCTTAGAACCACAGTTACAGACGGTTGTGAGCAGCCATGAGCATAGGGAACTAAGTCCAAGTCCTCTACCACAAGCAACAAATGCTCTTAACCTCCGAGCTATCTCTACAGTGCCTTATCTTTAACTGTTGAGATGACATTCTTTTATTGTGTGTGAACATGTGCCCACGTGTGCACAGCAACCAGTTCTCCACTTCCTCCATGTGGGTTCATGGGATTGAACTCAGGTCACCAAGCTTGGGGGGAGGGGCGGTCAGTGCCTTTGTCCACTGAGCCATGTTATGGGTGCTAAACTGAGCATTTTGAAAACCCTAGGTAGGAATGTGCTGCAGTGGGGGCACAGCGGCCACTGGCAGTTTGTTGGAGGTGCCCCCCCATTCACCATTTGCATTTCTATAGCATCAGAACAAATGCTACAGTTACAAACACACACTCTTCGTACTGCTGTGAAAACAGTGCAGTACCTGCAAAAGCTTCCTGGACCCATGGAATGTGCTGCAGGAAGCTTCCGGAAGAGCCTGCAGTGACAGGATGGGCACTCAGAGGACAGTGCAGTCCTGAGTCTGCCCCATCCCCGCCACAGAAGCACTGGCAGCACAGCAGTGTGAAGCCCGCATGAAAGCCAGGCCTCTCTGTGCTTATCACATCACATCTACTAAGCAAAGGATTTAGAGAAGAAACAGAACTCAGGTCAACAGAGCAAAACAAGAAGGTTATTAAGTTGGCCCTTGTTCAAGAGAGCAAATTCTAAAGTGAAATCCCAGCTACGGCACAGGCAAGCTGTGCTTCCTGCCCACCTCCCAGCTAGAATCTACCTTCACAGAGAAAGAGAAAAAGCAGATGCCTGAACTACACATCTAACAAGAAAACAAGAATGGAAAGAAGATGGCTCTAGAATGTGACTGTGAATCTCATTAGCACTTGCCTGACTCGCTTGGGACTCAACACTGTGACAACATCAAGTTTGCATTATGTTTCTAAGTGGTATATGGTTTTTTCTTGGCTATTTTTGGTAGTGAAGTATAGAGAAAGGGAGACATGGGATGGGTAATGGAGGACTAATTTAGACTCTAACCAACTCTCTAAATAGAGATCCTTTAGAACTGAATGTCTAAATTAAAATTAAGCGTCATCTTGCTGCTCAGTAAAGGCATTGTATCCTCAGGAGACATCTGAAGGACAGTGGAGAACGCAGCAGTTTCTAGAGTGGCTCAGTGACACAAAGGTGGGCCTGGGTCTCCAGAAAGGTCATGTCGGTGGGACTTGCAGCTGATTAAGTTTTAATCTACTTTATACATCAGGCCCAATATCATTCAAAGATAAACAAGTTTCAAGACTTACATCTAAAGCTGGGCATTGTGGTCATGCCTCTAACACTATGGAGGCTAGAATATCAGGATTTTGAGTTTGAACATCTTTAGCTAGAGAAATTTGAAATCAGCCTATCTATCTAATGAGGCCTGTCTCAAAATAAATGTATATATACTAAATACATTAGCAATAAACATACAAAATTCCATGATAGGATTATAATTTGAGACTTTTTTGTGTGCATGTGTTTGCACGTGTATATGCTTAGAGAACAGAAGATAATGTCTAGTAGCATCCCGCGGGTACAGTCCGGCTCTTTCTTATTTTGTCTGATGCAGGATCTTTCACTTGCCTGGAATTCACCAAGTAGGCTAGACTAAGTGGCCAGTGAACTTCTCAGCACTGGGATTCCAAACAGGGATTACTGAGACTGGAAAGTGGGTCTCAACTCGGGTCCTCAGGGCTGCGCAGCAAGCACTTACTGGCTGAGCAATCTTCCTAGCTCTGTTCTGGCAATCTTAATGTCCAACAAGAGGCTTGCTTGAATAAATTAATGTAGTCAAAGACTATGAAATATTATACAGGCATTAAATCCATATAGAATATTTAAGACTTGTTAATGATATATAGTTAAGAGAAACAGATAATTTTTAATTTTTATTCATTTAAGGGGCTTTGGTTTGGTTTGGTTGGTTTATGTTTTGTGGTGCTAGGAATAAAACCCAGGGTCTTGTGCTGTTCAACCAAGCCACACCCAAGCCACTTTTGTTTCTCCAGAGAAGGGTTTATTTCAAACCCAGAAGCCCTCTTACATCTTCCTAAGTGCTGAGACTACAATTTCAATAAGGGTGAGATGACAGTTTCAATAAGGGTCAAAAAGATAGTCAGTGAAAAAAATTCTTTTGAAAAATTGTTTTAAAAAATGACTCTAAAGTGAAAGACAATATCCAGGAAGGACCGTGTGGCTTCTGTGTACTCTAAAAATGGTGGTTATTAAGCCCAGGAACTGCCCCCAACAGACATACAGCAATGTTGACCAAAAAGAAAGCTGACTGAAAGACAAGCTGGAACAAAATGAAGAAGGACTTCCCCACAGCCTGTTTAGCTCCCAGCTTTGCCACTGTGGTCATGGACAAGCAGGTGACGAAGTGGGGGCAGCTTCTGTTGCCCAGGTCTCCAAGTCTACTCAGAGAGAGGAGTTTCACACCTTCTGCAGTCACAGCCTGCAGCCTGCTCCAGGGAAGCGCCCCCATGGCAGCAGCCACCTCCTCTGTGCAGCCACACTGTGCTCATGTTGTACCGGGGACGTCAGCACACAGGACCTTTGAGCTTACATGTTGCTAAGGCTCTAAAACACGCCACACTTCTGTGTGTCCAAATGAATAAGCAAAACTCCACTTCTTCAAAGTCTCTTTCAGTAAAGCAGAACATTTTTGCCGAAGGCAAGAGTCCAAGAACTGAACTGGGAGCGCTTTCTTGGGCCTCGACTCTAGCCTTTGACAAGCTTATTTATAGACCAAAATATCTTTGTCTACTGACATGGATTTTTTTTATGAGATAGGGCTTTAGTGTGTTGTTAAGGCTGGCCTTGAACTTACAATCACCCTGCCTTAGCTTCCTGAGTTGTAGGACTGTAGGCATGTTAGTACCATGACTGCCTAGCTATCATGGAAAGCTTCAAAAACAAAAGAAGCAGTAGAAACAAGGCCAAACAGCAGTAAGCTAGAAGTCTGGAAACTGTACCCACAGAATATAAGTATAAACTTAACAAACCCCAGATTTTTTTTCACAAGTAACAACAGAGCTGAGAAATGGAAAGGTGCCCTACCCTCACTGGCCAGCTGTAGGGATGTGCTGCACAGCAAAACACGGCAGTGTTCACACAGGAGGGGCTGGAGAAGCAGCTCATCCCCGACCCTTCACTCAGTCCCAATTCCTCCCGTCCTCTGAGCTCACTTACAACCAGGAGCGCAGAGGACGAGAAGCGGGCAGTTTCTGAGCCAGAGCACTTTCTGAAGCAGGAGCTGTCATATGCCTCTCTGAGCAATGACTCTAGTACTCAACACTTAGACCAGAAAACCACACCAGTGACGTCATTTCAACATACGTGAGGATTTGGCTCCATAGTGATTCTTGAGTAAGTGTAAGGAAGCTCTCCATACCATGCTGTAAGTCTTGGTTGCGGATAAGTTATATCTAAGAAAGAAAATACAGGGCTCTTGAGATGGATGCCGTGGTAAGGTGTGCCCACACTGGAGGAGAAGTGTGAGGAACACAAGGAAGAGGAAGACTGACCCAGTCCCTTCCTCAGGATATGGGAGGTGGCTAGCGGACGCTGGAAGGGCTACACAGGAAAGACATGCTGGCAGGGACAGCCTGGGCAACGGCTCTGGGGAGGGAAAGTGTATGATCTGTTTGTTTCAGTCACAGAAAAAAAAAATCTCAAAAAGCAGAATATGGAGCCTGAGCCATGTGAAATGGATTTGTAGTAATAATCCGCTTGAAAAGCAAGAGAACCTAGTCATCTATATATGTCACAGCAACACTGTACATGTCCTTCTGATCTAAAACAGTGGAAGCAACTGTAACACAACCTGCTTTTGTCACACGTGGATGCTATCTAAACTGTTTTAGAGAGGTCAGGGGCTACCATCTCTCCCCAACAGACATCGGTCACAACAAGATTAACACAGGACTGAGGACATGAAGCTCAGTAGTAGAACTTTCTAAACCTCTAAGACTGCATAAAGCCTTGCATTTGAACCCAGAATTGCTGAAAAAAGGAGTTGGGGGAGCCAGTGTTCATTAAAGGACACACACACACACACACACACATAGGCATTCTGTTAAGCAAGTATCATGCATCATTTTATTTAATTAACATGAATCTTATAATTTGTGTACTATTAGATAAATTTTAAAGATAAGAAAACCTAGAATTACAGAGCCTCTGAACTGTAATTTGCTCAAAATTAACAATTACTTGGAACGCTAAAGCAAGCACCCAAAGCCACACTGTGAAAACTCCTAGAGTAGGGAAGGCTTCCTTAAAAAGGCTCCTATTCTGACACCCGTGTTTAAAAGAAAAAAAAAAATGAAGCCAGTTCACATGCACTTTGTCTCTTTCTTCACAAGCAATTCAAACTGGCTCCAAGTCCTAGGGAAGGAGCTTATGTCAGAGCACAGACGCCTCCTAGTGGCCAAGTGAGGTAGCACAGGCATTGCAGGAGCAGGGAGAGCAACAGTAAGGGGCAGATCAGAGTAAGGTAATCAATGGTGCTGCATCTTCACAAGCTCAGGAGAGGGGACATTGAAACTGAAGGAGACTGGCTGACTCCAGTGAAAGGAATGAGAAAACACAAAGTCAGTAAGTAGGACTTCAGTAAAATGTGTGCCAAATGGAGTAGCAAAAAGAAAGCTCTGGAAACTTCTATAAAGAAGGAACAAGCACCATCAGAAGAGAGAAGCAGTTAAAGCGAAAGGGAGGGCATGTCAGGCTTTCTTGGCTCTCTGAGCTCTTGCCTCTCTCTTGTCCACTCTCCCTGACCTCTGGGTCTCTGCTGGGCAAGACTTCTGCCCGGCACACTAATTCCTGTCTGTCCCTTAGAGAGTCTTGGCTTTTATCCTGTTTGAGACCAGCTATGTTAAGCAGATGCGGGGAACTGCAAACATTTGAACGGGGACTGTGCAGCAGCAACTGTGCCCAGAGGCCTGCTTACCCTCTTTGATGCCCATCCTCTGTTTCCAGGGGACATCCTGACAAAGGCGCTCCAGTATCCAGTCAGCTTCCTTCAAGTCCACGAAGCCAGGATATAAACACACCCTTAATGCAGAGAGAGCGGTCATTAGTGGAACTACACAGAAAAGGCGGACTGAATACCGGCAGAGTTGACTAGACTTTCACTTTAAAGGGCAGATGGAGCTATTTTCCTTCCATATGATCTTCACATAAAATAACACACTCCATTTACGGCACCACTGAAGACACACGGCCATAAGAGGGACACATGAGGCTTTCTAGAGTTCTGCTTCAAACAGTGTTCAAGATACTTTTCTGCCCCGGAGAGAGGAGGCAGAGAGTACTAGCATGGCTCTGTTTAGAAACATTGGACAGGCACTTAATGTCCCTCAGTTTCCAAAAGTATAACCTAAAGATGACATCCATTTCATAAGGTCACTATGAAGAGGAACTAGTAAAATGTAGAGGTCAAAAACTATTTTTTAAAACTATATCCATTAGAAGACAGAGACTACCATGGCTATCAAAACAAACATACCCAAATGAGGTTTCCTTTTACTAAATACATTCTCATCCTGTTACAGATTCAGCTGAAAAAGTCATTTTGTATCTCTTCCCTAAGAAAAGTCTAGAAGTGCACTCTCCTGCAGTCTTGACAGCAGCAAGCCCTCAGAAGGTGCATGTGCGTTAGAAGACCCAGAGACCATCTAAAGCTACCTAGTTAACACAAGACCTGGCTGACCGGGACAACACAGCTGGTCATGCACACTGGCTGGGAAAGTCTTGCTTCAAAGGGCAGTGTCTCCGATAGATGGCTGGTTTGCTTTGTTGTTACTGTTTTTGTTTCTTGTCAACCTGATACAATCAAGGGCCATTCGGGAAGAAAGAATCCCAACTGAGGACTTGCTTCCGTCAGACTGGCCAGTAGGTGAGTCTTGACTGACGATTGGGGTGGGAAGGCCCAGCTTACTGTGGGCAATACCATCCCTGGTCAGATGGTCCTGGGGTGGCTAAGACAACAGATTAACCCAGGAAGAGCAAGTCAGTAAGCAGCATTTCTCCATGGCCTCTGTTCTGTTCCTGCCCGACTTCTGTGACCCGGGAGTTGAAAGGTGGAGCCATCCCTTTCCTTCCCACATTGCACTCAGGAATCGTATTTATCACAGCAATAAAAAACAAAGATTGGGGTTTAAACAGTAGCCACACCAGCCAGTTTTACAGGGTGCTCTATATCCAGAAGAGGATCCTGTTAAGCAACTTTCATTTGTCATTTCTGATGTAATTGTTTATCTCATTGGTTTATGGTGGTAGTTAATATATTGTGCATTAAAATATTTTTAAATAGTGACTACATGTAATATATATATAACTTTACCTTCTTATATATATTTAATATATATTTAACTTAATATATATTTAACTTTACCTTCAATTCACCTTAATGTGGCAATGTAACACTATATAATGAATATATACGTAGTTCATGAAATGCAGCAATAAATAATGAAGCACTCACTAAAGACTGGAGCCAGCTCTGGCACTAAGCTACTGTGAGTGGCGGGGGTGCAGGAAAAGGACTGTCTCTCTGGGCTTGGCTTCCTCGTGAGACTGTGGTCACAACAGTTGCTCTAACAGTCAGAAGCTGTGAAAATGTTCTGATGCTAGAAAGAGTTTGTAAAAAGGAAGTATTACCCGAGTCTTGTTCCTTAATAAGGGGAGGACAATTTCAAGAGCCTATAACTCAGTGACAGCTGCAGTCACGCACCAATGAGGAGTCACCTACCTCGACACACCAGTGGGTGACAGGCTGATTTCATGCACTCCCTCCCTGCTAAAGAAGCAGAGGAAAAGCACGTGTCAGTGTGAGGCAATGGAATCCACCCTGTTTGTGCCCTCCCACGGCCCTGACTCATTAGGATTGGTGGTTACCTTTAGAGAACACTAGGAGGGGGGCATAATCTCCACCCTCCTCCTCAACTGCTAGACAAGGGGCAAAATGGTGGCACATCATTAATGGTACTGGGAACAGAACCCCGATGGGATCAGGCCATGGGGACAAAAGCGGGAGATAATAACCTCTGACTCTACCCCTTTAGGTTTCATGCATGATTTAGGCTGATAGGATCCAAGAACCTATCACCAATGGAGAGTTTAGAATGAGGACTACAGCCCAGGGGGCAAGTGCACACACCTCAACACCTAGAGCATCTGTTACTTTCAAGGACAAATGTCTAGTGAGTTCTTCCTCTGGGTAGAACTCCTTCAGTGTCCCCATCACTGCATTCATGGTCCTTGAGACCTAGACCTCTCTTCTGATGACTCCCACAGAGCCACCATCCTCAGCAGCAACCGCTTGCATTCCTTTACTACAGCACTATAGGAGTTTCCAGCCCATGTTTCTGTACGCAGGAATACTTCCCTACCGGCCAGCAGCCCCTATCCAACTCACCTCCCAGTCTGGTGCAAGGAAAGCTTCTCACTTCCCCTACAAAAATCTCACTGCACCTCACCTCTAAAACTTCCCTGACCATTAATTTGTGCCAGTAACATGACCCATCTCACCCTGTGCCAGTATTAGATCTTATGTACAAAATTACAACTTGTTTAAATGTCTATTCTATTTGTTAGATGTGGGTATTTTAAGGGGCAAAGAGTGGCTTATTCTCACACCTTACACACAGTGGATGGGTGATAAAAGCTTGCTGAATGCTGGGCAGAGGTGGCACATGCCTTTAAGTGTTTGGGATGCAGAGGCAGACAGACACATCTCTGTAGGTTCAAGCCCAGCCTGGTCAGCAGAGCAAATCCCAGGACAGGATCCAAAGTTACAGAGAAACCCTGTCTCAAAAAATAAAAACCAAACCAAACAAACAAACAAAACTTGCTGAATTTAATCCAGTGTGGAAAGGTGTGAAACACAGACATACAGGTGCAAGTTTTATGGCAGAAAAGCAACAGAGCACACAGATCATTTACTACTTTAAAGGTTTTCCTATCACCTCTCTCAGGGGCCAGTGGTTCCTGACCTCTGCACTAGGCTCCTAGGCAGCTGAATGAGCACAACTAGCATTTATTTCTCAAGGACCACATTCTACTACGGAAGTTGTCTAAATAGATTCCGAGGATATAAATACTGTGCTTTAATGAGATATACAGAACTGTATCTAGAAACTCTCTCACTCCAAACATGGAGCACATTTCTGGGAACTGGCAAACAAAGCCTAGGCGAGTTAACTTTGGACACAGCAAGGCTGAGCCCCAAACACCTAGAGAGAGATGCTGTGACATTTCCCTCGACTTGCAAACTTACGACTGCATCCCTCCCTTTTAATCCCAACTGTAATGGTTTCGTGGCTTTGTTCTCTCTACCACCAAAGGAGGTGATACTGCATAGGTACCGTTCAAACAGTCAAAGACTAGTAGACCTAAGCCGGATTTAAGTGACTTTACTACTAGTCCTTAACATACAAAGAAGAAAATCAAATTCTAGAGAGATGGAAAGAACTCAGGACTAGTTATATAGCTAACTAGTTGCAAAGATGTGACTAGATAATTACTGAAATTATGTTGATATTTGTGTGAGTTTCAAATTCTTGTAAAACCAGTCTACAAATATCTTTATAGCATAACAGACTGCTCATAGGCAAGAACATCCATCTGATGCTAATTGCTAACATAAAAGTATAGCTCATACTGATAGCTTATTTACATCAGGTGGAAAGTGAGAGGCAGGAGAAAAGAAGCCAATATATCTCACACCTGCTTTGGAAAACATTCCAGACATAAATGAATACAAGAGGAACATTTAACATTGCTTAAATTGCTCAGCACCAAGCCCATGGTTTTAGGACATGGGATGCAGGGTCATCTAGTTCACAGCAGTTTTCATAAGGACTGCTAGCAAAAGGGCACTCAGGGCTTCCCAGCAAGCCAGGCTGCAGTGACTCAGGACAATGTCTTTTCTGTACCCAGTCTACCCTTCCAGAAACCAATGAAACGGGGCCAGGAAATCAACCCCGGAGTTAGAACGGAATGTGCAGAGATCTTGCTGTTTTCTATACCATCGGTAAACCCAGGAAGTCTCCTCAAAAGATCAAGTTCAACGACTGAGGTAGACTATTCCTTCCAGCCATGTTCTTTTTAAAGGGAAAGTCATCGAGGGAAAGACCCTGGCCATGCACTTCACCGTGGGCAATGCTTACTTACTCAATCACTCTGGGCTCTGGGACTGTACGCACAACCTGCAAGGAAACAGGCAGATCTGAACTCGGGGATGGTTCCCAAGGGTCAAGAATAGCACATACCTCTCATTTCTAGCCAAAACAAGGCAGGTTTACACCCATCCTTTTTCCATCCCACCACCACTACCCCAACAAAGCATTGTTCCTGCAGTTCCTAGAACTATGTCACACTGGCCAGATGACCGAAAATGTGATACAATTAGAACTAGCCAACTTTCCCGTTAGCCAGACACTCTGCAGAAACCTTTTATTAATAAAAAAGACTTTTTTTTTAAAGTAGATGATACATTCTAAGAGGAGTTTTGATAATTATTATATCAGCAGTTCTCAACCTGTGAGCCATGACCTCTTTGGGAGCTGAACGACCCTTTCACAGGGGTCGCCTAAGATCATCGGAAAACACAGATATTTACATTACAATTCCTAACAGCAGCACAGTTATGAAGTAGTAATGAAATAAGAGTATGGTTGAGGCCACCACAACATGATGATTATATTAAAGGGCTGCAGCATCAGGAAGGTTGAGAACCGCCCATCTATATGATTGTTACTATACCAAGATCCCTAACTTTTAAACTGTATTTTTTTCATTTTATTATTCTTTTAAGTGAAGGGGCTGAGGAGATGGCTACAAAAGCATGAGAGACTAAACTCAAATTCTCCACACCATGTAAATGCTGAGTGGGTGCAGAGGCTAATCTGCAATGCAGAGCTCGGGGGGGTGAAGACAGGGAACTCCCAGGGCAGGCCGGCTCATTAGAACATTCTGTATTCAGCTGAGACCCTGACTGGATATAAATGTGGGGAGCAACTGAGGACAATACCTGATGTCAACCTCTGGCCTCTGCACACACGTCTATAGGCACATACACATGTGTGCCCATACATATAAACATGCATTTGCATAACACACACATGAAAATAAAAAAAGAACTGGGAGTTTCTTCAAGAGAGAGCACTTCCCTAGCATACGTAAGACTCTGGGCTTGATCCCCGCCCTGCAATGCCTTTGTCCCCCCAAAACTGAGTCATCTATGTTTTTTACATTTATTTCCTATGGGGCTGGGGGCTAAAAAAATCAGGCATTTTGGTATAATCACTGAAATTTCAGAAGGATTTTCTGTAACAATTCTGAAGAGAACATCATTATAGAACTGTTAGATCTTAGCTAGATAATGCAAGCTCTTGTCACAGTATACCATGAAGCGGTAGCCATGGTACAGCTTCCCTGCCTCTCCCCGCCAAAAAAGACAGAGGGTTTGGAGGGAAACATGGCCATGCAATGAGGACAGAATACAAAGAATCTTCAGGCAGATAAGAAAACCAAAATAGTTCACATTTCATTATGATTAGACTCTTTTTGTTCTGCTACTCTTAAGTACACCCATTCAGCCACCGCTGGGGCACTGGCTCCAGAAACACAGCTTTTGTAAGCACATCTGTTACCACTGAAGGAGAAACAGCAGTTTACCAGCTGAGGCTCTTTGAACACAAACTCTCTGTCAGGCAGCTGCTTCCTCCGCCAGGCCTGCCCCGGTGTCTGGGGAAGATGGCTCCTACCAGTAGTAGCTGAAACAAGAGAGAAGGGCCTCAAACAAGAGCCGATAAACCTCCCTGAAGATGACTTATGACCCCAAAATGTAATTGGCAAGGCAACAACCAGGCTCCACCCACGCTGAAGGTACTGACTAAACAGGAGGAGCCAAGTTAATGCCCTTAGCTCACCATCGACCAGATCAGACAAATGCCAGGCATTTCTAAAGAAAACTGTGAACAACCAGAGTGGGCGTTCATTACAGAGCAAAGGGTAAAAACAGGACGATGGCGGCTGTCCACACCCACACAGTCCCTGCAGGTTCTTGCCTGGCGGAGCAGCCCAGGCTCCCTGTACTCGGGCTCGCCGTCTTTTGTCGTCCATATTGAACACAAAGCTTTCTGTTCTGAGATTTCAGAAGATTTCATTCCTGAGTCAAACCATGGGATGGTTACCTGTGTTCAAAAAGAAACGAGTGCTTTGTTAAAGACGGTGAGAGCCTGGCCTCCTAACGGGTAATTAAAGCCCTTTTGGTCAGAAGAGACAGCACAACAGCAGATAGAGCTCCTACATAAATCAACTGTCAGACGCTGACTCACTAGGACTGCTGGCTATCACAACACTTTCTCAGCAGGCAGTCAGTCTATCACACATAGACTGTGCTATTCATATTAGTCTCAAGAGCAGAACACGCCCCTTAGTCCTTAACATGAATATTGAAAAACAGGCCAAGTCAGGTATGGCGGTGCTTGCTTTTAATCCCAACTCTCAGGAGCCAGAGGCAGGAGATCTATGTGAGTTCAAAGGCCAGCCTGCTCTACAGAGTTCCAGGACAGTCAGGGCTACCCAGAGAAACCCTGCTTCAAAAAGCGGGAAATAAGAAAACGTCAAGACCCAGCTTCCTCGTGCATTACTGCTTACACTGGTTGTATGAGCGTCCCCAGAAGTTTTAAAAGTAGACATGACAGAGGAACCAGAAGGACTTTGGCCTAGTGTAAGAGAAGCACAAACAGGCAAATCCTACATGACCTCACACATAAAGACTGAAGAAAGCTGAGGCCCTAAGAGTAGAATGTGATTCCTTGTGACTAGGGAAGGAGGCTAAATGGGAAAAAGGACACTGTGGATCCAAAGTACAAAGATTCATTTGGACAAGGTGAGTTTTACTGATCTACTGCATGAACAATAACCATAAACACCAAAATCCTGGGTATTTCATAGTTACAAAGAGTAGATTTTAAATATTTCTGTCACAAAATGGCATGTGAAGTAATAAATGTATTCATTTTGTGTTCTTTCTATATCACAAGCATGTATCAAAACGTCACAGTATCCCATAAATACATACAAGAATTTGTCCACTAAAATTAAATTTAAATTAAAATCTAAAATATTCATATCCCACTTTCAAAACTATGATTTAGGAAAGATTTCATTTCTATGCTTACAAGAAGCAGAGAAAGGTAAGATGCTAATATACATGGGGAGCAGGGGTTTAGTGACTTACAAAGTCACTCAGAGAAATCAATACCGACTAAAAGTTCAGCTTTTATCAAGGCTCAGCCTTAAGCTAATCAAATCCCGTACATTTTCGCCCACTAATTATACCCTGTGGCAAATACAGAATACAGGAGGGTCGGGACACATGTTCTGAATTTATGAGCCACTTCTTTATGGGTCTAGGAAAGCTTCAAGTTCCCAAAGAGAACACAGTTATATTAACGCTCAGCCTACAGATCCCCAAGCCCCATCTCCTAGACCTTCTGATCCACAAGAGTAGATCTGGATTCGGGACTCCATGCTTATAAATCTCCTTAAGTGATAAGAAGTATGGTTTACCAGCACACTCCTGTAATCTCAGCATCCAGGAAGCCTGAGTTAAATATTGAGAGCCTGTCTCATCAACAACAACCTATATCAGGTAGAGACACGAAGAGCCTGTCAGCTGCCCCAAGGCGTTAATGAAACGATCAAATCCAACTCTCCAGCCGAGCGAGATGTGCGAAGGAAGCCCTAGGGCATCTCTGAGGTCTTAAAGGCATAAGACGAGGGTTAGCGGGGGTCCCCAAAGGCCTCTGACCAGCGCACCTTGCTGCTCATTCACACAGGAGCGATGTCATTCGTCTAGGGCAACTGCTGAAAATCAAAATTCTCAGAGCCGTCTGAGACTTAGTCTGTGGAGTCCCTGCCACCCTGACACCCAAAGCTTGAAACCCGTAAGAAGAACAAGGGCTCTGGCGGTAGCGGGAACTTGCTTTGAATGCAGATCTGTCCCACCTGCAAACACCGCGCCAACTGACGTTACCGTCTGAGCCCCAGCCTCTCCTTCACAAGCAAGAGCTGGAGCCAGCACCGCCCTCGGGGTTGGGGTAAAGAACAGCGGGGAACAGCCTGCTGATGTGACGGGGGAGCTGGGCTCCTTTCCCTAATTCAGACCGACTCCCTTCCAGCCGGTGGCCTAGGAGCAGTCCTCACACGCGCCGCAAGCCAGGGCTGGGCGTGCCGGACCGAGCCGGCTGAGCTCGCGGAAACTTCCCAGCTTTCCCGACGCTGGGGAACCTTCAGAGTGAGGCACCAGCTCCTGTAACGCCCAACCACAGGCCGCGCTGTCACCTACTTCCTCTTACGTTAAACATTGCCACCGCTTCCGGTGTGTACCCCGGAGTCCGGGTCACCCCATATTCCTGGTGCCTAGAGGGCCGAGTCGAGATACTGAAGGGAACCAGATTAGAATTGTGGACAGGCGCGGGGGTTTAAGACGGCCAATGGGAGGAGGAGGTAGGAATGAAGATGAGTCTCCAAGGCCTATATCCCCACGACGGAAGCTCCCGAAACTAGTGCTGGCATCTTTGGTTTGTTGTGGAAAGAGCAACTATAGTATTCCGGAACTTGGTGGACGGACCCGGGAGTTGGAAGGACTCGGATCATAGTGTGTTCAGCCATAGACTTCCCAAGTGCTCCGTTTCCTTTTTAAATGATCATAGCTCCTGTTAGTGGGATTAAATAAGATCAAAATATCTAGAACACTATATAAATTTAATTATTCAAGATGGCTCAACGTGTCTCCTCACGCATCCAACCTCTTGAGAAGCATCTTTAAAGTTAAGCCCTTGTATCTTACAACGTAACTAATTGTAGCACTGAATTAAATATTTTCTGAAAGCTATTCTCTAAAATTTAGCCAAGCATGATCATTGCCACAATCTTTCAAATAAGCCTTAAGAGTAGCAATAATGACCTTTTAAGGAAAACCCTCCTCTGACTAAGAGAATAGAATCTCCGTCCTGGGGAGACCTAGCCTTGCTATTGGTTTGTGTCAATTACCTGGCCAAAGGACTGCCCCTAGGAAGGAAGGCTTGCTGTAAGCAACACTAAAGAGATAAGCGACTTTAATAAAGTCCTTTAATGAGATACTGTGCTTCACCTCTCTGAATTCCCACCCTCTACCACAGTCTCTTACAGAACATGGGCATAAACAAACATAGCTTTCTTTTTTCTTGCTCTTTCTGCTCTAAGCATGCTTCCTGTCACACTTCAGGCTTCCCCCAAAATTATGTGCTTCTTTAATGCTTCTCTTCTGCCATGGTCTCCCCTCCCCCTTCTCCATTATCTTCCTCTGAGCCCTGCTGAGATTTACAACTCACCTGCCCTCAAGTGTTTTTTTTTGTTGTTGTTGTTGTTGTTTATTTGTTTTTTTTTTGTTTGTTTTCGAGACAGGGTTTCTCTGTCGCTTTGGAGCCTGTCCTGGAACTCCCTTTGTAGACCAGGCTGGCCTCGAACTCACAGAGATCCGCCTGTCTCTGCTTCCCAAGTGCTCGAGTGCTGGGATTAAAGGCGTGCGCCACCACCACCCGCCACCACCACCCGGCTCAGGTGTTTTTCTTTTAAACTAATAAATTGTCCTTGAACTTCTTTTTGAGTCCATTCTTAAATTTTTTTCCTAATGAGACTAAAACACCACGAGGCAATACTAAATAGTGCTTGGCTGTAGCAAGCTCAATGTTCCTGAAACAATGTACTGATATTGCTGCCACTTTCAAGTACAATTTTCAGTGCATCTATTTTTTTGTTATACTCTTGACATTGAGAGAAAAATGATTTATCCCAGAACTGAAAAGAGAGGCAGCTGGATTGTAATTTTTACTGTTTTTTTCTCCATCACCTAGTAATCATTCGATGCCTGCTTCTGGCTCAGGAACACTTGATACATCTCCTAAAGGGTGTTATTTCTTTCTTTTTGATGATTATAGTTTTTGAACTGCAATAGAGATTCCTGGAATGAAGTGCTTCTGAAAATACTGATTAGCACCTAGTCAGCCTCTAATGGAATGTTTTAAAAAATCAGCCCATGACCTGTTGGCATCTGAAATCACAGCACTTTCTTTCGTTTCTTTTATAATATATTATTTAAAACAATTTTTTAAATTAAAATTTAAATATATTTTGTGATAGTCTTCCCATCTCCAAAGTCCTTCCAAATTCTTTCCTCATCCCTACCCACCCAGCTTTAAGTTCTTTCTCAAAAAACAGAAATTCAATACAAACAAAACCCCCCAAAACAAAAATAAACCAACACCAACAAAACAAAACAAACAAACCCACCCAACTGTAGCCAAATAAAAGCAAACAAAACCTGTAGGGCCCATAATATATTGGTTAACTATCACTGAACATGAGTGTTTGATATACCCATTGTCACTTTATTGGAGAAAATAGACTTTCTTTCTCCCAGCAAGTATAAATGATAGCTCAGTTGTTAACCTTTATCCTAGTGGCTATGTTTCATCCATCCATCCATCCATCCATCCAATCATCCATTCATTCTTTTGTGTGTGTGTGGGGGGGGTGTTTCGCTACATACAACAAAATGAAATATAATAAAACAAAAACTTTCACATGGAAGTTGGACAAGACAAACCAACAGAAGGAAAAGGACCTAAAAAAAAAACCCACAAGAACCAGAGACCCACTCAGGAATCCCCTAATACTAAACTGGAAGCCATAATATACACGCACAGGACCCGGTGCTGACCTGGACAGTTCCTGCCTGTGCTGCTCCAGTCTCTGTGAGTTCATATGATCTTTGATCATGTTGGTTTAGAAGGCCTTGTTTTCTCGGTGTCCTCCATCTTCTCTGGTTGTTACTCTCTTTCCACCTTCTCTTCTGCAGGGTTCCCCAAGGTCTTCAGGGATGGATTTGATGGAGACATCCCATTTAGGACTGAGTGTTCCAAAGTCCCTCACTCTCTTCATAATGACTGTCTGTGGGTCTCCCTCTGTATTTGTTTCCATCTATGCAAAAGGAAGCTTCTCTAGTGAACAAGGGCACTTATCTATGGGTATAGCAAAGTATCATTAAGTCATTTTATCTCTACACTTATTATCTTTTCTTAGACCAGTATTAGGTTCACCAGAGGTTCCCAGGACATCTAGTCTCAGGTTCTTGGTCACCATCTCATGGGGTGGACCTTAAGTCAGTTCGGTACAGGTTAATTACTCCCACAAGCTCTGTGCCACCATTGCCCTAGTAAATTTTTTAGGTTGTGGCTGGCTTGATGTTTACCTTTTGCTTTTGATAGCCTGCAGGGTACCTTTCTGTACCAGAGATGCTGAAATGTAGAGATGAAGGCTCACTGTAGGTACCAGGTCAACATCTCCATGTCCAGTGAGTTGTGCAGGCGTTGTCTTCAGCAATGGGGTCTTGCTGTCAGTTTGTGGAGAACACCCTATAGTCCTGGCAACAGTTTGAGTTATTTGGGGATTCCCATCGGGCTCTGTTAGCCAACAACTCAATTAGATGTAACCACTTCTCAGTACTGGAAGCTTCGTTGGTAACAAAAGATGGCAAATTGGGGTTCTATCTCCCCCATAATTTGGAGATTTCATTTAGATCACCTTCATATATGTATATATTTTAGGAAAATTTTACTGTATTAGGTTACCATTCTGCCCCTTGAATGCCCCATAAGTTTTCAGTCTCTTTCTATATTCCCTTCCGTAATCATTTCTTCCTGTCTCTACTTGACCTTCATATTCCAGCCCTCCCCCATTCATCCATAACTATATATTCTATTTCTCTTTCCTAGTGATATCTATCTGTTCCTTCTAGTTCCTTAATCTATATCCACCATCTGTGGTTCTATGGATTGCAGCTTGATTATCATTGACTTAACAGTTAATATCCACATATAAGTGAATATAAACCATATTTGTCTTTCTTTCTGGATCTAGGATAACTCACGCAGGATGATTTTTTTCTAGTTTCATCTATTTGCCTGCATATTTCATGATGTCATTTTATAATGGGTGAGTAATACTTCATGTTAAATGTACCACATTTTCTTAATCCATTATTCTGTTGAGGGACATTTAGGTTGTTTCCAGTTTCTGGCTATTATGAACAGAACAGCAATGAACATGGTTGAGCAAGTGTCTTTGTGATAGGATGAAGTATCCTTTAGGTACATGCCCAAGAGTGGTATAGCTGGGTCTAAGGTAGACCAATTCCCATCTTCCTAAGCAGCCACCACACTGATTTACACAGTGGCTGTAAGAGTTTGCATACCTACTCACAATGGGTGACTGTTCCTCTTACTCCATATCTTCACCAGCATAAGCTGTCACTTGTTATATTGGTCTTAGCTATTCCAACAAATCTAAGATGAAATCTCAAAGGAGTTTTGACTTGAATTTCCCTGATAGCTAAGAATGTTAAACATTTCTTTAAGTGTTTTTCAGCCATTTGAGTTTCCTCTTTTGAGAATTCTCTGCTTAGATCTGTACCCCATTTTAAAAACTGGGTTATTTGTTTTCTTGATACCTAATTTCTTTAGTTCTTTATATATTCTGGACACTAGCCCTCTATTGGGTGGGGACTTGGAAAGAATCTATTTCCATTCTGTAGGCTGCTGCTTTATCTAAATCATGGTGGCCTTTGCCATGCAGAAGCTTCTCATTTTCATGAGGTTCCATTTATTAATTGTTGATCTTAGTGCCTGTGCTAATCGTGTTCTATTCAGAAAGTCTTTTCCTGTTCCCATGAGTTAAAGACCACTTTCTCTTCTATCAGATTCGGTGTATTTGGCTTTATGTTAAGGTCTTTGATCCATTTGGAGTTGAGTTTCGTGCATGATGATAAGTATGGATCTATTTGGATTCTTCTACATTCAGCCATCAAATTTGAAAAGCACCATTTGTTGAAGATGCTGTCTTTTTTCCAGTGTGTGTCTGGCAACTTTTTGAAAAATATTTTTATTGAGCTATATATTTTTCTCCCCTCCCCTCCTTTCCTCTCACTTCCCCTTCTACCCTCTCCCATGGTCCTCATGTTCCCAATTTACTCAGGAGATCTTGTCTTTTTCTATTTTCCATGTAGATTAGATCCATGTATGTTTCTCTTAGAGTCCTCATTGTTGTCTGGGTTCTCTGGGATTGTGAATTGTAGGCTAGTTTTCTTTGCTTTATGTCTAAAAGCCACTTATGAGTGAGTACATATTATATTTGGTGGTCAGATAGGATGCAGGGTGATATTTCAATTTTCTTGTACCTGTTGAGATTTGCTTTGTATCTCAG